ACTTATATATGATTACGTGACTTATATATGATTACGTTACTTATATATGATTACGTGACTTATATATGATTACGTAACTTATATATGATTACGTGACTTACATATGATTACGTGATTTATATACGATTACGTGACTTATATATGATTACGTGACCTATATATGATTACGTGACGTATATATGATTACGTGACTTATATATGATTACGTGACTTATATATGATTACGTGACTTATATATTATTACGTGACTTATATATGATTACGTGACTTACATGTATATATGATTACGTGACGTATATACGGTAACGTGACTAATATATATGATTACGTGACTTATATATGATTACGTGACTTACATATGATAACATGACTTATATATGATTACGTGAATTATATATGATTACGTGACTTATATATGATTACGTGACGTATATATGATTACGTAACTTATATATGATTACGTGACTTTATATGATTACGTGACGTATATACGGTAACGTGACTAATATATATGATTACGTGACTTATATATGATTACGTTACTTATATATAATTACGTGACTTATATATGATTCCGTGACTTATATATGATTACGTGACCTATATATGATAACGTGATTTATATATGATTACGTGACTTATATATGATTACGTGACGTATATATAATTACGTGACTTATATATGATTCCGTGATATGATTACGTGACTTATATATGATTACGTGACGTATATATGATTACGTGACTTATATATGAGTACGTGACTTATATATGATTACGTGACTTACATATGATAACATGACTTATATATGATTACGTGAATTATATATGATTACGTGACTTATATATGATTACGTGACTTATCTACGGTTACATGACTAATATATGATTACGTGACTTATATATGGTTACGTGATATGATTACGTGACTTATATATGATTATGTGACTTATATACGATTGCGTGACTTATATATGATTATGTGACTTATATACGATTACGTGACTAATATATGATTACGTGACTTATAAACGGTTACGTGACTTATATATTTTTACGTCACTTATATATGATTACGAGCCTTATATATGATTACGTAACTTATATATGATTACGTGACTTATATACGGTTACGTGACTTATATATGATTACGTGACTTATATACGGTTACGTGACTTATATATGATTACGTGACTTATGTATGATTATGTGACTTATATATTATTACGTCACTTATATATGATTACGTTACTTATATATGATTACGTGACTTATATATGATTACGTGACGTATTTATGATTACGTGACTAATATATGATTACGTGACTTATATACGGTTACGTGACTTATATATTATTACGTCACTTATATATGATTACGAGCCCTATATATGATTACTTGACTTATATATGATTACGTGACTTTTATACGGTTACATGACTTATATATGATTCCGTGACTTATATATGATTACGTGACTTATATACGGGTACGTGACTTATATATTATTACGTGACTTATATATGATTACGAGCCTTATATATGATTACGTGACTTATATACGGTTACATGACTTATATATTATTATGTGACTTATATATGATTACGTAACTTGTATATGATTACGTGACTTATATATGAGTACGTGAATTATATATGATTACGTGACTTATATATGATTACGTCACTTATATATGGTTACGTGACGTATCTACGGTTACATGACTTATATATGATTACGTGACTTATATATGATTACGTGACTTATATATGATTACGTGACTTATATATGATTACGTGATATGATTACGTGACTTATATAATTATGATTACGTGACTTATATATGATAACGTGACTTATATATGATTACGTGACTTATATATGATTACGTAACTTATATATGATTACGTGAATTATATAATTATGATTACGTGACTTATATATGATTACGTGACTTATATAAGATTAAGTGACTTATATATGATTACGTGACTTATATATGATTACTTCCTATCTTTTCTTCCTTCTTGCTTTTGTTTCTTTGTATTTGCTTATTTCTGATTTTGTTTTCTTTCTGTTTCTGTTTTCTGTTTTTCTTTCTTGCTTCTTTGTTTACTTTCTTTTTTTCTTATCTTTTCCATTTCATACTTCCTTTTTTGCTTTGGTTTTTGTTTGTTTGTTTTTGTTGTGTATTTTTCTTTTCAAATTAATTTCATGTTGTCACTGTAACTTGATAAAAGTATTAAAGTTTAATGTCTTTTTCAGATAAAATTCACGAAGAGCTTCCCTATCTTTTCATTTCTTCATGTAACTCGCCTCGGGTTTGCTTAAAAGCAAATAAATATAATGTATCGCGTATATGGGATGTAAATTAATTCGAATTTCCACATCAGCGAGCTATCTCAAAGGACGCTCTTGAATTTTGAACAGATACATGTATTCGTTTTATGCTATGTCATGACATAAACCAAACATATTAGATAAAGAAAAACTCACAGTAAATTTTCCTGAGTAAGGTGTTTGTGTTGTAAACCATCCCATCTCCCAGACTGGTTTTCTCTCGTAGTTTAGCCAGGGCTGCTCTCTACTACGCGAGGATTGCCTGTCGTTGGATTTTTTCCTCTCCGCTAGGCTTCGCTTAGAAAATAAAACGTCAGGTCAGGTCTCAATCGGAAACCGTGGGCATTTTCGTTTACTAGAAACTACGAAAGAAACAAAGATTTTTTCAGTTTACCGACGGTTCCCGATTGGTCAGGTCTACTTGTTCTTATAACGGGAATAATACTTCCCATTATGGCGTCAGGCAACCTTCGCGAAACAAGTCAAATTTCTCAAGTTCTGCTCATAACGACCGGTTTCTTCTGAATACATACTATTTATCAGGGGGGAAATCTGCATACCAATGGCTGTGTTCGTATTGACTGTTTGAGTAAAAAAAAAAAAAAATGTTTCAAACAACTGCGTGATGTGTCAATTACTTTTTACTTCGCATAAACGATGAGAACATGGACCTGTTAGTTGACACAGTACATGAAAGAAACTACAAACTGGATCAAGTTTGAGGTTGTTTTTTTAAATTGAGTTAAATGCCTTTCGAAGCATGCTGAATGTTTGTAAATCAACACCAAAGTATCATCTTATTACACACGTTTCTCATGTAATCAGTTGTAAATGCCGAAGCTCAAACCAGCTCCGGCAACTCAAACCAACATTTCTTTGATTGAATTGACCAATCAACGCCCGTTTTGTCAGGATCCTGTCCAAGGTGCTGGTCCTGATATATCTTCTTCAGTAGTTTGAAAGAGCACATTCTAACGGAGGGAAAAGGTACTTAAGTAGGCAATACAGTCTGCCCGCTACACAAAAGTTCAACCCTGGTGGAAAGTAGCGAAATTAAGAAAGGAAATCAACCAACCATATCTCCAGAACGACAGGTGGAGGGTATTTTATATAAGAACGACAAAAAAAGAGTATTTTCCTTAAAGGAAGGATATTATTGTAGGTTTTCTGTAATTTTGATAAATTTCAAATCAATCAAGTTACCTTTTTTCAGGCTCCAAGAATCTATCATTTGCACGTCCATTCCGAGGTGAAGATGAGATTTGCAAGCACCTTGGTGACAAGCAAAGTGGCCAACCCAGGAGGCGAACCGCGCGAGGCAACATTTGACGTCACACTTCCGAAGGAGGCGTTCATAACATCATTTCTTATGTAAGGATATAAAGGGATTGTCATATTGCACATTTAATTTCAGATCCTACCCCGTGTCAGCCAAAAAGCTGATATTGTTTTCTGGCTGTACGAAGAAGTGTGGAAATTCCGTGCAGTATTGAAGCGATATTCCGAAGTTAGGGTATGCGGTAAAATGTCTAGTCATGTGATAGTTGTCGAACCATTTGCTATATTAATGATAATTATAACAATTTTTAATAGCTACGAGGACAGTTACAAACGTTCCTGAAATCACCACGTAGTTGCAAGTGTTGCATTGAGATTAGTTGTGTCAAAGTTCGAGCAAATCCGACATAGAGAGGGATCATTGGCATCACCTTGACATACACCCGTATCAAACAATCAGAGGCCACGGCGGCCGTATCTGATATTCTCAGACAGGAAAATGAAACGCGTTACGCCATCTACATATACTCATCGATGTTCATATAAAGTTTCAAAATGTCCTGGCAAATGCCACCCCAATGATGATTATATATGAGAAGGGAGGAAAGCCCTCAATGTCGAAAAATCAATCCAACCTAACTTGCTTGCATCAAAAATCACTTTTCTAGTTAATGTACAAACATATGCTTAGTACCGTTGTAAAGATGGATAATTTTTTTCTTTTAAAACCCCCTATATTCACGTACAATACATTTTGTTCCGCAGACATGATATCCGTTTTCCCCCAAAACACGACATATCCGAGTTTCTTCATGAGGTTGACGTCAGCCACGTGCCGAAACCTGTGACGTGAATGGCTGGAAGCGCGGACATTTCCCCCCTAAAATAGCCAGCCAATCAACAGGACATGTTGCGGCCCGTGGCTGAAGTCAACTTAATAAATATATACACGATGCACAAAAAAGTGACTATGAATGCAAAAAAAAACGGCCGCCTTGGTAAAAGGGGAGTGCGTCAGCCACTGCTCCACTCGACTACATGATCTTAATGTGCTGTCGCTCATGCATACGGAGATTGTTCAATCTGTGTGTTTTTGCATGCTGGGGGACCCATGTTCTAACTAAGCAAGCTGAGTAGGTGACTATCAGATTACATTTTTCTGTTAAATGTCAACAGAGGGTTTTTAGATTTGTATTCATACATGAAAACTTATACACTTCGTTGTATATTGTCGGATAACAGTTTCAGATGTGAAAGTAACAGATATGTTATGTTAACAATTTAGCAAGTCATCACAATCAGTAAAAATTGTCAGCTTCATAGGAGATAATGCGTGGGTGGTCGGGTGGCGCAGTGGATAGCGCACTCGCCTTCACGAAGACGTCTTGTGTGGATTCCCCGATCGGATGTGAAACGGTATTGGGACACCTGCCCGACCACGAGGGTTAACGTTGTATTGGGGCACCTGCCCGACCACGAGGGGTAACGTTGTATTGGGGCACCTGCCCGACCACGAGGGGTAACGTTGTATTGGGGCACCTGCCCGACCGCGAGGGTTAACGTTGTATTGGGGCACCTGCCCGCCCACGAGGGTTAACGGTGTATTGGGGCCCCTGCCCGACCACGAGGGTTAACGGTGGATTGGGGCCCCTGCCTGACCACGAGGGTTAACGTTGTATTGGGGCTCCTGCCCGACCACGAGGGTTAACGATGTATTGGGGAACCTGCCCGACCACGAGGGTTAACGTTGTATTGGGGCACCTGCCCGACCACGAGGGTTAACGTTGTTTCCGGGTACTCCGGATTCCTTCCACCCTCTGCATGCTTCCATCCAGGTCAACAAGGATTATAAAATAGATAAAAATGATTAGGAAGACAAATTTGACTTTTAACCTATAGTGACTTATATAATTGTCTTTGTGCAAATGAAATATATTCATGATCAATTTGACCCTTGACCTTTGATGACTCACATATTGACTTCTATCGTAACTTTAAATTCACAATTTTATGCTGTCTCCGGTGACCAGGCAATAGACTTTTATTTGATATTTCAATGTAAAAAAACATTCTTTGGACCTTTAATTGTCGGTTGAGTGTAAGGGCATTTGCCTGTTGTTTTTGTAGGGTTTGTACAATATTCTTTAATTATATTCAGTAGTAGAGGTTAACTTTGATACTGCAATTATATTACGTTCAATAATTACTACAGGGAGATAGGCGGTAAGATATACCCCGGGGATGTGAAGGAGAAGGAGGCAGCGCTCAAACAATACCAGAAAGCGAAACAGACTGGACAGAGCGCTGGGCACATCCGCCGACGGTAGGTGGTCACTTTTTGTACGTAAATGACTTTTAAAACAAAGATTTCCTGGTTAAAGTTCTTACAATGAACAGGCTTGACCTTGTTTCCTATTGTGAACATTTAAACTGAAAAAGCAAAGCAAACATGAGGAAGTTTCTACCTTTCCCGGGAATAGATCACGTTATCGTATTGTTCCCTTTGACTCTTCAATTAGTGATGGTTTGTATCATTCTGCATATAGATCCACTTTATGATGGAGAAAGTATCTCAAACGATTTGTGCTATATGAAACAGATGTATAGTTGGTTTTTGTTTTAAACAACTAAACTTAGGTGGCAATTTGTACTCAGTATGATTTCTAAGTTCACATCTTCCTTTTTGACGTGACAAGTGTTCATTTCAGGTTTTAACATTGTACTCATTTTTCTCTTGATATTCTCCCGTCTTTGCTCCTTATTTACAATTGTAGTTTCGAAACAATATATTTTCTATAAAATCATACAACGAAATAACATGTACCGCTTGTTTTTGTTGGAATTAGGCCAAGGGAGACAAACCAGTTTCAAGTATCTGTCAACGTCGCTGCTGAAAGTAAAGTGACGTTTAACTTGACGTACCAGGAATTGTTGAAGCGCACGTTTAGTTACTATGAGAACGTCATTTTCATCGACCCCGGGCAAATTGTCGATGACATGCGCGTGTTTGTGATCGTCAAGGAGAGCAGACCAATCATAAAGTTTCGGGTACCTTCGGTATCGAATGATATTCCAAACTCTGTGGACACACCGGGTAAGTAGATGTCATACCTTTTAACTGGATCTTTAATTTAATTACGTACCAACTTCAAGTTAATATTAATTCAAACGGAAGAAAATTAAAACAACAACAAACAATTGCACCAACAAACAGAACACGAAAACAACAAATTATCAATTAACAGTAATCATATTTGTCATTTGAGAGTGATGTTTATGAATCCCATAATATGTACAATATTAAACCATCTTTATTTTATCCTCAAATTTAATAACTGGGAGAAACTATTTTTATTGTAATCCTACATTAAAGTGTTACAAAACTGGATGTCTTGCTTTCATGTTGTTTTTTCGTTTATCTACTAACAAAATATTTGTCGGCAGTGAGGCTTATATAATGACAAGCATACACGTGTAATGGGCTTTCCATTTCTATTTCCAATTGATCATCATATGATTACCGCGTAAAAGAAACTGTTTTTAGAAAAGGATATTCTAATCTGTCGTTATTTGATTCCATGAAACGCACTGCTAGTTGGAGAAGAAAATGTAACTATCGGCTACCCTGACCAGAACACGGCCTATGCACTGTTTGAACCGGATGTCGCTGAGCAGAGGAGAAGATCCGAACAGGGAATATCCGGGAAGTTTATTGTGCGATACGAGATTGAGAGGCAGTCGGACTCTGGAGATGTCCTGGTACGTACCGGAGGTGGCCCTTTCAGGGTCAAAAAGACAAAGTCATTGTCTGTATACACTTTCAAAAGTCAATGTTTGTATCTTACGGACTTTGTTACCCTGGATGTGTATCTAATTTGCCCTGAGCTGAATAATATCACTCCTTACCATACTATGATCAAATAGATGCAGGAACTGTTCTTTTATGAAAAGAAACAAGATTCTTCGATCAATCAAGGTACCGCCGCTTTGTGTAAGACAACGGAAACTTTTCATCAGAACACCGGGATACCAGTATTCTCGTCTTAAATAACCGAATCAGTTTAAAGGGATCATTTTACAACATCCGTATTGCTGAGTGCTGTTTACTGTATTGTCTATCACTGTATTGGTTAAATGTTCGTTCCAGTGAAGTTCCATTGGTACGTTTGAGGCGGTAATTTTGTACGATTTTACGCTTGAAAACTCCACAATAACTGTTTTGTACACTTATAATTGATCGTGGACATATACAATATTAACGGATTCTTCTCAAGTCATGTGATTTTCTCCGGGTACTCCGGTTTCCTCCCACATTAAGGACACCTCCGCACTAACACCGGGGCAAACAATTAATAAAAGTGATTAATATCAGATATAATTAATTGTTTCATAATTGTTGTAAAATAAATAAAATCATTATATATATGTAAGTGATTTGACGTTCTGTGCTTTCGTTTAAGGTTGTAGATGGCTATTTTGTACATTTTTTTGCTCCAACCGGAATCGAACCTATGCCAAAAGACGTAGTGTTCTTACTGGACGTGAGCGGATCGATGCAAGGCCGGAAGTTGAAACAGATGCAGGACGCTATGGGTCGTATCCTAGATGATCTGGGGGAAAACGACAGGTTCAACATTCAACTGTTCTCAAATACAGTGAAAGCTTTCCGATACATCCTGCAGAACGTCACAGCAGAAAATATAATGGAGGCAAAAAAATACATAAAAAACGCAAGGGCAGATGGAGGTAATTATAAATAATGATTGAAGCTGGAAACTAATGAATATAATGAATGTGCTTGTTACTTGTATTGAAAAATATCTATTTGTCACTTACATTGAAAAAGGCACTCGTGTTACTAGCATTGACACAGTAAAGCTTGTTACTAGCAGTGAGACAGGTAAGGTTCTACTATCATTGACACAGTAAAGCTTGTTACTAGCAGTGAAACATGTGAGGTTGTTACTAGCATTGACACAGTAAAGCTTGTTACTAGCATTGGAACATGTGAGTTTGTTACTTGCATTGAAAAAAAGTTTACTTGTTACTAGCAGTGGCACAGGTGAGGTTGCTACTAGCATTGACACAGTAAAGCTTGTTACTAGCAGTGAAACATGTGAGCTTGTTACTTGCACTGAAATATGTGAGCTTATTACTATAATTAAAAATGGGTGTTTGTTTCTTGTATTGAAACAGTTGAGCTCGTTACTTATATTGAAACAGTTGAGCTTGTTATTTGCATTGAACTGGTTAGGTAAATACTTGTATTGAAACAGTAGAGCTTGCTACTTACATAGAAACAGGTAGGCTTGTTGTTTTTGCACTGAAAAAGCTGTGCGGAATGTTAAAAGCTCTTAAGAGTTGTGAAGATAACAGTGGGGAACAGGGGGGAGGGTAATGAATGAAACATGAGAATGACAGGTCATGTTTCCTAGTACAAATAGTACTACACGGTATAAGGCGATAGGAACATTTCCCTCACTGTTTTTGCTTTATTTCAGGTACTGACATCGATTACGGTTTAGCCCGGGCTCTCAACGTCCTGCGGAAAGCCCGTGATAACAGTTCCCGGACACAAATCCTCGTGTTTCTAACAGACGGTGACGCCACTTCAGGTGTTACGGGTGAAGGGTCTATTCTAAACAATTTAAAAAGTCGCAACACTATTTCGGTACCAATATTTTGTTTGGCGTTTGGTAAAGATGCCAACTTTAACCTGTGTAAGTCTACTAGTCTAGAGAACTTCGCAGTAGCACGAAGAATCTACGAAGATGCCGACGCGTCATTACAGATCAGTGGCTTCTATGACGAAGTGTCTATTTCCTTGTTGAAAAACGTTTCTTTTCAATACTTAGGCGACGCTGCTCGAAATGGGAATATAACCACGTCAGATTTCAACACCTATTATGCGGGATCAGAGCTAGTTGTTGCAGGACAACTTGAAAACAGAAACGCAACTTCCATAGATATTGAAATAACAGGTCTCGGGACGAATGGTGCTGTAGACTTTCTGACGACCGTAAATTCTATTGAATTAAATCTACCCCCTTCCACTGACATCATAATTGAAGATGACGTCACGCTCGAGCACGGCGACTCAGGCCCGGGTAGCGAGGACATTGCAAAAATATCTGACCTTGACCCCACCGTAGCCAGGTCGATCACGGAGAAAATGTGGGCATACCTTACAATTAAACAGCTGCTCAGCAAGAAAGATGCGACGGATGACAAGTCCGAGATAGAGCAGCTCCGGCAACGGATCCTCGATCTGTCGCTAAAGGTGGGGCGTTACTCGATATTCTTAACGCTGTTTTGGATTTGTGATATACATCTAATTTACACATTTAACGACTTATTACATTCCTTTATCGTTTGGATATTATAGACACATACTTTTCTTCCTGTTGGTGTCTTTTTGAAATAACTTTTAGATCACACAAGAGGCTTGTAACAACTATAAAACATTTCCCACTTTGAAGAACATTGAAAAATTGTGTTAAATCTGGGACAACTTTAACACTGAGGCCAAAGAACACTAATTTCTCAAATACTTTACTGCAAGATTTCTGTACAATGTTTTCATTCTGACAATTTTAAAAGTGAAAATGTATATTTTAATTAGTATCAAAAGAAATATTTTCATAATTTATTTCATTATTCACTAGTTGACCTGTTCATATATTACTGAATTTCGTTAAGTCAAGGAATTGTAGTTTAGTGCACAAAAAATATATCAAAATGAAGAAGTAATTTGAAACGAAGCCATAAAATCCAAACCACGTTGTGACAATTAAAACCTTGCGATTAACCGTACAATTTTCTCATATTTTACTACATTGCAGTGCAATGCACTACAGCAAAAATTAACTCCATTTTCTAAATGTAGTACACAGGGCAATTTTTATAGCGCGCAGCAAATTGAACTGGTTTAAATACAACGTAGTTAATACAACACAATGCAAAGAATCGCACCAATATCTGTCATGTTACTATTGCACTGATTTCGTCTGCAGGAATCTGTGTCACAAAAGTCGACTTTCGATGCCAAATACAGCAAATCCTCGGCTTACACCGAAAGCTAATATAACAATGAAATTCAAATGTTCAAATGTGGTTTCAGTACCATGTAAGATGGTGCTGTCCATGATTTAAACTTACCATATTCCAATTCCCTGCGTTGTAATTAAGATGTAATAACTTTGACTAAGCGCGAAGGATTTGTTATGAACTCATTTTTGTATTGGAGTTACAATGAAAGGACTCGCCCTCGATACTCCAGGGGGTTGCACTCTCTTTCGCTCTCTGCACTCCTGGAATATGTCATGACAAAACCGTAGACTAACTGTGCACCATCTTATGGATGAGACACTATGACTAGTTTGATTCGTCAGTGATACGGTAAAATTGACTAGCTTTGATTGCGGGTGTCGCTCCAGGACAGCCTATCAATTAGTCAGGTTTTTTTACCCTTTAACCAGTTTTTGCTTTGACAAATTCTAGGCCTACAGGAAGTGAAAGTGAGGGTAACCCCTGGAGTATCGGGGATTGCAAGGTCTACGCATTACTCATAAACAGCTGTATTGATTTGTAACAGTAGAGACACATTTGACATTTCAAGTTACAATGGTCCTTTTTCCGTTAACTTTTTTCTATGGTCTTCGTTTTCATTATTGGTTTAGTGCATATTCGGCGTGTAAAGTTACTTTGTGTTAAGAGCTTGGTCATGATAGAATAACGTATTGGACGATCGAAATTTATCTGTTTTCATAGAATAACGTATTGGACGATCGAAATTTATCTGTTTTCAGAACAAACCTGTATTGTCCTCTAATTGCTTCGCTTTTTGTCCAGTTCAGTATGTAATATACTTTCGACATGTTTTCGCCTGTTTCAGTACCAGTTTGTAACGCCATTGACGTCCATGGTTGTGACGAAGCCAAACGAGGAAGATCACCTCAGTTCATTCAGTGATAGCGACGGTTCAAGGTCACAGCCAGGTTAGTTTTAATTCTTTTTGTTTTAGGGGTCATTCTCCATGCTCCAGGGGTTACGCTCACTTTCGTTCTCTGCACCCCTGCAATATGTCATGTCAAAATCGAAGGCTCGGTTTCCGCCACCTTGTGGAAGAGACTAGTTTGATCCTTTGATGTTCATCACAAGTATCTCGCAGTGACGTAGCAAATCATTTTTCGGAGTTTATGCTTACTGAGGGTCGAGCGTCCCAGGCGCGTAGCGCCGGAGAAGGGGAAGAGTATGGGAGGGGGAGTTGCAAAATAAATTTTACTAGGCCCTAGAAGCTATCTCTCGTATTCTGGGAAATCCTTTTAGCATGATTATTAACAATTAAAACCCGTTTTATATGCATAATATAATTGTTTTTACTTCTTCAATGGTTGTAGACATAATAGCACGTTTTTATCTGGCTAAAATTTTCAAGATTTGTTTTCATTCTATCCTTTTTGTGATTGATACGGACGGTCCATATTAATCATAAAATAGAAATTAATAAAAATATATGATGATATAAAATCTTGAAATATTAGTGTATGTTACGCTACTGTCTCGCGTGAGCATAACGGTAAAATTGAATGACTGAAGTCGTGTGTGGTTTTTCTGTAATCTTCAAAGGACATGTATCAGCCTAGCGATCGGTCAGGGGTTTTTTCCCACCTGAAACAAATCAAATAGCTGGACACGTGACTTAAATTTTGCAATGACATATTCAAGGGGTGCAGAGAGCGAAAGTAGGCGTAACCCTTAGAGTATCGAGGATGGCGTGTTGTGTGTGTAAAAACATGACAATTGCAATATAAAGCTTTCTCTTTTTGTTACTAGCCCTTCCAGTCGCGACTCCATCTCCAAGAGGNCATTTGCTGGATAGATAGCGATACTGTATATCATGCTTTTGTCGTACTTTAGTAATATCGATTTGTTATTTCTGTATCAGCCTAGTCGATGGTCCGGGGCTAATACATCAGGACCGATAATGACTTTATTAATGACCCCTGTGATAACTGAAAATATAATCCAGACAGATGTAGAATGTATGTATAGAAAACACATCCGTAAACAAACGCTCACTTGTCTCTTGTTCTTTAGTGTAGTTTATACATATTTATTACCAAAAGTAGACAAGGGATTAGGCACATTTTTGTCTGCAACCTTCGCATCCGCTCTAATTTTACTCTCAGAAAATAAGCATCTGCTTATACACCTAGTACATTGAGGCATACAAATATAAACAAGGATTAAGGACCACATGATTAAAACATATCACTTCCAGATACACTGCGCCATTGAGTTGTCCTACAGCACAAATCGTGTTAAACTTAATGTTGTGTTAATTAATTTTGCTTTTCTTCTTTGTCCGCAGAAAGTCTAAAACATTCCCCTCGATTTCTTTCCGTTGACTATAATCGTGACAATTCCTCATCTGTCTTGTTCTTTCCTCCGTCAACTACTGTAGGCGGTCGTCCGCTATCACCTCATCTCTCTTGTTCTTTCCTCCGTCATCTACTGTAGGCGGTCGTCCGCTATCATCTCCTCTCTCTTGTTCTTTCCTCCGTCAACTACTGTAGGCGGTCGTCCACTATCATCTCCTCTCTCTTGTTCTTTCCTCCGTCAACTACTGTAGGCGGTCGTCCGCTATCACCTCCTCTCTCTTGTTCTTTCCTCCGTCAACTACTGTAGGCGGTCGTCCGCTATCATCTCCTCTCTCTTGTTCTTTCCTCCGTCAACTACTGTAGGCGGTCGTCCGCTATCACCTCCTCTCTCTTGTTCTTTCCTCCGTCAACTACTGTAGGCGGTCGTCCGCTATCATCTCCTCTCTCTTGTTCTTTCCTCCGTCAACTACTGTAGGCGGTCGTCCGCTATCACCTCCTCTCTCTTGTTCTTTCCTCCGTCAACTACTGTAGGCGGTCGTCCGCTATCATCTCCTCTCTCTTGTTCTTTCCTCCGTCAACTACTGTAGGCGGTCGTCCGCTATCACCTCCTCTCTCTTGTTCTTTCCTCCGTCAACTACTGTAGGCGGTCGTCCGCTATCATCTCCTCTCTCTTGTTCTTTCCTCCGTCAACTACTGTAGGCGGTCGTCCGCTATCACCTCCTCTCTCTTGTTCTTTCCTCCGTCAACTACTGTAGGCGGTCGTCCGCTATCATCTCCTCTCTCTTGTTCTTTCCTCCGTCAACTACTGTAGGCGGTCGTCCGCTATCACCTCCTCTCTCTTGTTCTTTCCTCCGTCAACTACTGTAGGCGGTCGTCCGCTATCATCTCCTCTCTCTTGTTCTTTCCTCCGTCAACTACTGTAGGCGGTCGTCCGCTATCATCTCCTCTCTCTTGTTCTTTCCTCCGTCAACTACTGTAGGCGGTCGTCCGCTATCATCTCCTCTCTCTTGTTCTTTCCTCCGTCAACTACTGTAGGCGGTCGTCCGCTATCATCTCCTCTCTCTTGTTCTTTCCTCCGTCAACTACTGTAGGCGGTCGTCCGCTATCATCTCCTCTCTCTTGTTCTTTCCTCCGTCAACTACTGTAGGCGGTCGTCCGCTATCATCTCCTCTCTCTTGTTCTTTCCTCCGTCAACTACTGTAGGCGGTCGTCCGCTATCATCTCCTCTCTCTTGTTCTTTCCTCCGTCAACTACTGTAGGCGGTCGTCCGCTATCATCTCCTCTCTCTTGTTCTTTCCTCCGTCAACTACTGTAGGCGGTCGTCCGCTATCATCTCCTCTCTCTTGTTCTTTCCTCCGTCAACTACTGTAGGCGGTCGTCCGCTATCATCTCCTCTCTCTTGTTCTTTCCTCCGTCAACTACTGTAGGCGGTCGTCCGCTATCATCTCCTCTCTCTTGTTCTTTCCTCCGTCAACTACTGTAGGCGGTCGTCCGCTATCATCTCCTCTCTCTTGTTCTTTCCTCCGTCAACTACTGTAGGCGGTCGTCCGCTATCATCTCCTCTCTCTTGTTCTTTCCTCCGTCAACTACTGTAGGCGGTCGTCCGGTATCATCTCCTCTCTCTTGTTCTTTCCTCCGTCAACTACTGTAGGCGGTCGTCCGGTATCATCTCCTCTCTCTTGTTCTTTCCTCCGTCAACTACTGTAGGCGGTCGTCCGCTTTCACCTCCTCTCCTTTTTTCACATTTCGGTAGCGTAACGTTAGACCGTCTATCGATACCGCATCTAAACGATGACGTGGATCCGTCTTTTTATATGTTTTGCTCAGGACCGCTTGTAAATTACATAAAATAAAACAAAATCTCACTTGAATTCAAACTCGTTTGATATTGATGAAACTTTCGAGACCCGTTTAAGAAAACGTTGTATGACATGAAAACCATTTAAATAATTACATGAGTCAATACGACATTGGTGCATTGACTGAATCGCACGGTAATCTCGAGATGAAGTCCGGAGTCAAATGCAAAAAGTGCCCAGCAGGGCATCATGGTGAAGTACCTTTCAAAAGAACGCCTTTATATAGAGGACATTTCCTACTTATAAGTTGATCCTTACCTCAACCTTTTGGTATCGGCCTATTTACTGGTAGTGGATATCCCGTATCGGCCCTTAGCTTCGGCCTCATATCTAGCCAGGACCGGAGTATTCCAATCGACTAAAACTCCGGTAAAAACGAGTTTAAAGTACGAGAAATAATCAGCAGTAAACTGTACTAAGTTGGTCAATCATGGGGCGGTTTAAACAGATGTGTTAATGTCACACTGTCTTAATGTGTTATTGGCCGTAAACTGTCTGTTTTTAAGTCTATACAATAATCTGATTTTAATATACTGTCTATGTTCATAACGTGTGGAAAAAGTTAAGTGCAAACGATTATTTTCTTCAAGTATTACATCAGACTAGCTATTGCAATGAAACATTCTATGAATATATAATGTTAATTTATATTTTATTATATGATGAAATTTTAAATAAATTACACAGTAAATTTTATGCATAACCAACATAGG